TGATAAAATTTGCAAAAATCTAGAAATTTTGGGTGATTTGGGTTGCAGTTGTGATTGAATTGTGTTCCTGGTAGTGCTGTAGACGAACACTAATAGACGTTTCACACTGATTCGTTGATTTTTGAAAATTTTGAAAATTGGCTATTTTTGGTGAGTTTTTGGTTGTTCTTGATTTGAATTTTCAGATGGCTCCATGTGAGAAGAGACAGCAACCAGCATCTTCTTCCAGTGATGCATCTGGTTTTGCACCGTCAGCGAGCACGAGACCAGTGTGTAGGCCTCCATGGCCTAAGAGATAGGAAAATCGCTTCAGGAGTAGCTTGGGCAAGGACTCCGAAATAGGAGATAACAAAAGATACATGTGTGTTCCGCGATATACAGGAAGACTGGGATGAGTATGACACGCTATTCTACAATGCATGGCAAGACATGAGGATCATTCCCACCAGATTCACAGATACCAAGGTGCTGCAGCAGATGGGCATCAAGGATGATGTTCTGCAGGTTCTCGAGAGGATCGGAATGGGCACGATGGCGACACAGCAGAACGATCTGTACCCCGATCTGGTTCGCCAATTCCTCGCCACAGATCGCGTGTACTACGTGAACGAGCTGGCCAAAACTGCACAGCAGGGCACACTCACCTTCCTGATCAGAGGAATTTGCTACAGTCTTAGTCTCTTTGAGCTTTGCGGGATCTATGGTTTCGAGGACCATACTTCAGGAGTCCTCGCACCTTTGCAGTAGACCCATATGCAGATTTTCTGGTCTAAGTTCGGGAATGGCGTCTATGAGAGCAAGAAGAGCACACAGACTGATGATAGACATCCTGTGATGAGGTACATTGTGCGCCTTCTAGGCAACACTATCCTCTGCAAGTCTGCGCCGAGCAAGATGCGTGCCACCGAGCTCGTTCTGCTCTATTACGGCTTTGCTAGTATGTTGGATGACGAGATCCCTATGGACAGCATTGTCCGCACCAATTTGGGCACCATTTTTGCAAAGCACTTGGTCTCTCTGAAGACCAAGCCATTCACGAGCTCAGGGGACAAGACATAGAGCATTGGCAGTCTTCTCACGCCTATCTTCCAGCACTTTCAGATCGACACAAGGCCCTGCAGCATTATCACTGAGCGAGCTCTGATGGATGAGACCCATTTGGGCCATGCTACTTGGCTTAAGCGCAGATTGGTCTGGACTTTTACTACTTCTGTTGGGGAGTATGTTGGTGTGCAATTGAAAAACCGAGCGCTCAATATGATCCAGGGAGATCCACTTCAGCTGCGTTTTCGGCCTGACCCGGTTTTGCTGCATTTTCTTGCTGACGTCACAGAGGAGCCACTGCTGGCGCCTCCACTTCTGCTGCTGCTGCTCAGGCTGGACCATCCCGACGCCAGACTACGCCCACGCCTGGGATTGCTTCTATCGGGCGCCCTCTTAGACCTCAGACACCTATGGATATGACAGTCTTTCAGGATTACATTTGCGACAGCCTCGAGGGTGTATGAGACGCTGTGACTACACTAAGCTATTGTGGTTGCATCCACCCTCACTCTGCTGCTGAGGACTAGCTCCACTGTTATCCTGGTTACTTGTTCCTGTTTCTTTTTTATTTTATTTCTCTTGAGTCATTTTTATGTTTTTATCTTGAGTCAGTGTGTCAGTTGCTTTGATGTTGTTTTGTGAACTTATTGACCTAGGAGTTATGCTATATTTGGATGTTTTTCACGTGTGTTTGAGTGCTCTAACAGTCTGACTTTAGAGTACAAATGATAACATAACATTTACACATCTAATTTGACGATTCTGGAGTTTCAGACACGGTGACGATCGTCACCAATGAGAGGTGACCCTCGTCACCCGCTCCTTCTTGAGGTACCACTTTCAGACTTGGTTCTACACGTTCACTTGCTTCTTTTTTACCAACTCTTGGCTTGATAACACTGGGGACAGTGTTGTTTAAGTCTGGGGGAGGTGGCTACTGACGTTGTGTACATTTTGTTTTATTTTGAGAGTCTTAAAGTTGAGTCAAAAACCTGTTTTATAGAGTCAAAATTTTGAAACTGCCAGTTTTTCTTGGAACTAACCACAAAACGTTGATGCTTATAAGAACCATTGTCACAGTAGTTGATTACAAGTCTTACTAAGTTGAAGTTCACAGGTAGATCAGTCTAGCAATGAAGGTTTAGCTTCTTAGAGAATCTGGAAAATTTGTTGTTAACTCCACCTTAATGAACTTTAAACTTTTCATCTTGGGGCTTGATTCTCATTGATCTTGATTTTCTCTTTCAACACTGACAAGGAGGTTTAGATGCAGTCTCTCTTTGATCTTCCCTGATACAGCTTTTAAGAGTTTAAGTCAATAGAATGGTGCATCATGACCCTGTCTCCTTACAAAGAACAAGAGTAGTGAACACTCAAGAACATGTCTCCTCACAAGGAACACAAGTATTGAGTAGCACCATATCTTAGACTGTAAAAAATATGAGAAAAGAAAGTTTAAAAATAAAAAAAAATTCAGAAAAATAGATCAAGGGAAGAGAAAATAGGAGAGCTGTGTTGAGATTGAATTGTTCAGTGTTTAGGAAGGGAAAAGAATCTGTATTGAGTTGATAAATCCTTGATGAGATATCACACTTAGATAAATATAAGGAGTTAGCAGTAAAGATTTCGGATTTCTTGAAGGGGCTTGAATTGGATTTGAGAGATTGCTAAGCTTGTGATGATTAAACTGAAATTTGATCTTGTGTTGGCTCTGTGGTATGTGGATTCGAAAGTGTTGATCAATGTGGTGTTCCTAATGTTTAGCTGATTGTTTCTGTTTTCAAACCTCGACCATGTACTTTGTCTGATGTTTGCTTGAGGGCAAGCAAAAGCTAAGTCTGAGGGAGTTGATATATCATGGTTTTTATGGTTTTTAACCATGGTATAATTCCTTTTTATTGAGTTTTTTTATCTTTTTAGAGACTTAGTAGAGTCTTTACAGGTTATAACATGTCTGGAGCACAATTGAAGGTTTTTGAGCTTTTTGGATCATTGCAAGAATCAACCACGAAGTTAGCAACTTAGAAGGCATCGATTGGCATTGGTGACGATCGTCACCACTCAAGGGTGACACTCGTCACCCGCATCTGAAGAGGAGTCGCGGCTTAAATTAAAAGATGGGGATAAAATTGCACTTTTGGCCCAGAAATTTCATTATTTGCAAGAAGACCCCAGCTCGTGTGTTAGCTTGTATATATTGGATTTTCAGCCATTGTTGGCTTTTATCTTAGATTTTAGAATTCAGAGAGCTTTAGAGAGAGATTTATTCAAAGCTTTTGGGGAGACAGTTCATGTACTCTTTTAGAGAAGATTTCGAACCCCTTTATCTTTCACTAAATTCTTTTAATGCAGTTTTATTCAGTTATGTTTTGTATCTTCATGATCACGCATGAGTAATATGTTAGTTAAGTTAGAGTTTTTCAAAGGTTGATGAAGAGTTTGTAGAATTGCTAAACTGTTAGGAAATCCATTGGGTTTTCATCTATACTTGCATTCACACCGATTTCTGAGACTAATCATCTAGATTTCGAACCCCTAGGTTATTTAATAGATGTGAGAACATTGTTAATCACCTGAACTAGTATTAGATGAGCAAAACGCCTATTTGCACAGAGATTTGACTTAGGAGTTTTGTGAATAATCGAAACCTGATCTTTAATGCTTGCTTAACTTGTTAGAATTTGCAAAGAGATTTGGAATTCTGTGAATTAGGCATAGATAACTTCTGCAATGAGAATTGATTAGTTATATCATTGAGTTTTTAGTTAAAGACGGTTTTAATTCATTCCTGCTTGCATGCATTCTACATTCTCGGATTAACCTGTGAATTGTCCTGACTTAGCGCCTTTAGCCTTCTGAAACTTAGATCAATTAAAAATTTGCCTGCTTTCATTACTATAGTTATTTTGCATTACATTCACTCATTACTGCTTAGCTTAATCCGAATCTATAATCGCTAGTGTAGTCGTTTATTTCCTTGGGATTCGATAACTTTTTTATGCTACAACTGCTTTGTTGTGCACTTGCAGTAGTTATTAATTAGGTAAAACCTGAGCCCTATCAATTATCATTTTAAGTTTCCAACTTTTAACAAATCACTAACTTTCATATTGGGATAGAGTTGAACTCGAGGACCATATGAAAGCATACATAGTAAGTAAATATATGGTGATATTGGATCACCTTGTCAAATACTTTGTTTAGAAATAATCTTTTCCAGTGGTTTGGCCATTGAAAAAAATAGTGTAGGTAGATACACTTCATAATTCAACTTACCTTACTTCTGAAAACCCCATTTGCTTTACCACTGGTGCAATAAAACTCCGTTTAACATTATCAAAAGCTTTTCTTATATCAAATTTAGCTGCCATGAAAGGTTGAACAAGCGTCTTAGTATGAAGGGTGTGGAAGAAGGTCTTACACAGTAAAAATATTATATGACAGTCTTCCTAGAAAATAAAAGATTGATTATCGAAAATAATTTGATCCAACCAGGATTTTAAGCAGCTTTTGAAAGAATTTTATGTACCTTTAATTTTGAACCAAATATATGGATATGATTTATAGGATCAAAAATTCCTTTAAAAAATATTTTGCAAATTTGAGCTTGTCTGATCGTTTTAACCTAGCGATCTTATAAAAATCAGGATTAGCTTTGTCCCTTTTTGTAAGTGCAAAAAATAAATGCAACAAGATATTCAACATGGATCGCGTCAAGTTTAACGTTTTATTCAATAATTAGAATAGTATAATCTAATCACTTTAATTATAATTGTTTGGTACTATGCAACTGACATCTCTATGTTATAGAAACATAAACGTTGTTTAAGGCATCAAGCTTAGAGATGTCAGTTTGACCCGCAGCCTGCGGGCCTGGCCCAAATAGAAGTGATGTGGGACGGGCTTGGCCTTTGTAAAAGTGTCCGCCTGAATAGCGGGTAAACCCGCTGCGCATGTGCGGGTCCGCGGACAAAAATCGATTGATCATGCTAATCGATTGATTTTCTCCAAATTCAATCCATCTTCTTCAAATTTTTTCATCGATTCTCTTAGATTACACCATTGATCTCCATCTACTCTTATTTTCGATCGAAATCTGCTTATGAATCATGATAGATATGATTATGAGAAGAAACTTATACGCCGATCGATCGGAAATAAGAGTATATTGACATCAAACAAATGCATCATCGAATCTAAAGAGATTGCAGGTTTTGTGTGGCAATTGGAATCATATACTGCAATCTCTTCTCTATGTCCCTTCGGATGTACCCGCCAGCCGTGGGTTTTTGTTCTTTATATTTTGGTCCGTCAAAAGCTTTTGCGATTTTTGATGGTATTTTCAAATTTCAGGCGCAGGAGGAGTAACATTTTGAACAAGTATCATGAAGAATCAAAGGATTTGATGATTGGTCGCTCTGGTGTTTCTGCTATATCGATATCTTCGGAAGAATTTAGTGTTAATTGGTCTCTCTTTTCCGTTATCTACGTTTTTGCCAGTGTCGTTTGCTGGTAATGTTTTTGCTTCTGCTATTCATCTTTGAAGTGTTTTATAAAATTCTGGTAGAATGTAGCTAAGAACATTTGCTTAAGGGGTTCGTTAATGCTTTTGTATTCTATTATGCTTCTAAATTTATATAAAAAATGATCATCAGTTTTCTGAGATTGTGTCTTTATTTACAGATCGAAAAGTTAAAAACCAATTTCATGGACTCATAAGCTGCTTACGATTTGGATATTTTCTTGATCTTTCTTTTTCGTTTAGCTGTGTGTTTGTTGCTTGTCAAATTCGTGATTCTCTTTTGTCTTGCTGTCTTTTTCTGCAGTGCGTGGCATCTCAATCCGACATGAGAATGTTATTTCTCAAGGGTATTGTTCTTGTTCTTTTCATCATGCTTGGCTTAATGAGGCTATACATATAATGGCATGTACCGTCGACTGTTGGAAAATATGGTTCAGTCACTTGTAGAGCAGCCTTCTCCACGCCTTTTGAAGCATATTATCTCAGTTTATCAGATAACTCAAAGTTGGTTTAGCTCAAAACAAACTTTACTTTCTTAGAGATTTTGTCCTGTGTCTGGCTTTTTCATGCTTGAGCTTTGTCACTTGTGTGAACATCGCTAGAGCTTTTCCCAACACTCGTGCCTTATTGTAACAAGGATTTGTAAATTTAAGGATTAATAATATTATTCCTTTGTTCTTCCTGATATTCTAATTCTTGAATTAAACAGTGAAGCTCTTGAATCATGGCCTCTCGAATTGCTAAAGATGTGACCGAAGTAAGCTCATCACATTCTTTCACTCCTTCATTTTCAAAGGTGTGAGCTTTGTTCATATTGTATTGATTGATTCTTTCTTTTTCTTCCTGCAGCTTATTGGGAACACTCCATTGGTGTACCTGAACAATTTCGCTGAAGGATGTGTTGGTCGTGTTGCTGCTAAGCTCGAGATGATGGAGCCATGCTCAAGCGTCAAAGACAGGTTTTTTATTTGCTTTAAGCCAAGAACTCTGTTCTGTGTTGTTTTTTTCGTTTTGGGTTTTGTGAAAACACTGTACTTTCTGTTCCTTTATGCAGGATTGGTTTCAGTATGATCTCTGATGCAGAGAAGAAGGGTCTCATAAAACCAGGAGAGGTCAAATTTATTTGTTCTTATTTTGTTGTGTTTTCGAATTTTGGTTCTTATAATTGATATAATTTATAAGAAACAACATTAGAAAACGTACAACTTTATTAATTGGTTAGACCAAAACTTGCGAAAGCTGAGCTATTGCTAAAGGAATACTGATTATATATTTTCTCTGTTAGCTCCTCTAACTTCTCTTACAAGTAATGATGTTTTATAGCGTTAGATAATGTGCGCTGGTAATTTGTAAATCATCCTCTCATGTTTAGCAGATGGTAGGTCTGGTGCAATTTATAAAACTTGGTTGGGGCAGAATTTGGGAGTGGCGTCTAAAGGTTAGTGTATTTGACCTCTCCTGGTCAAAGATATTATACTTCAAAGATATTATATCAAAAATATTATACTCGCATTATGTACATAAACACATGCTTATTACTAAATATAATTAGTTATATTTTATTAATTTAAAACAATAACATATTTTTTGCATATATGGACATGGGTTATATACATGAAAGTTTATAATATAAGATTCATATGTTCCATTGTAACTATGACTTGGTTAATCTTGATTTTGGATGTTTAAAACTTCAGCCCACATGTGATAATCTAGAAGAGTCTTGTTTATAATGTCTCGAGTAGTGTATCTCCTATTTTTGAATAGCAATTCGTTCCTCATCTTTCAAAGACGCCATCTAAGGAAATCAGTAGCTTCTGTAAGAGAAGGGTGAATATTTTTTATATATTGGATATCTACCTGATTTACAAGCTGACGCAAAAAAAAACTATCATTTAAGTTTCTAACCGTTAACAAATCACTAACTCTCATATTGGGATAGAGTTGAGCTCCAGGTCCATAAGCAGGTCTTACGAAAGCATACATAATAAGTAAATATATGGTGAAATTTGATCACCTTGTCAAGTATTCATAAATAATCATTCCCAATTGGTTAGCCATTGACAAAGACTGAGTAAATAACAGATGTAGTACACTTCATGATCAATTTACACCTTGCTTCTGAAAACCCCATTTGTTTCACCACTGCTGTAATAAAATTCTATTAGGTAATGATTCGCACCTTGTGCAGAGTGAAATAATTATTATATATATAAAATAGATTAATTTTAAGATTATATAATATGATATAATTAATTTAATATGAGTTTCATATGACAATATGCAATAACATACTAAAAATGTTATATTAATTAATTTAAAAATTAAATATTATATATATGATCCAAAGTTTAGTTGGTAAAAATACGAAATCGCTATATAAATCTTATATGTCTTGTGATAAACGACATGATTCAATGTTTACACCAATGTCCAAATCTTTGCATATACTATATTTATTAATTTGTAAAAAAATCAGAATCTTAATATAAAAAATGGATAACTAAATTTAAAATCAGAAGTATTTGAATATGTATACGATCAAAATAATTGGAAACAAAAATATATAGAACACAACAAAATTAGAAAAGCTACAACTATAACCATAAATTAATGTAAATAATTAGTCTTGTTACAAAAAACAGTTGTTAACTCCAAAAATATTTCAATATTTAATCAAAAAATATTATCCAAAATATAAAAGTATTTTAATAAATAAATTTGCATATAAAAGCATAAATTCCTCTTTAATACCATTTATCAATGGGCATTGATCGAAAGTTTGTCTACTTATAAAATACAATATGTAAATATAAATTACCAAAAAGCTTAAGTTTTTTAAAAGAACCTATGTAAATATATATGTTTCATTAATTTCATAAACTAATAATTATCATAAAATAGTATTATATTAATATATAACTACTATATTTTACTAAAATATGAATATATAATTTTTTTTAGTAAAGTTGGAATAATGTTATGGTTTATCTACAATATAAAAGTAAAATGTTTAAAGATATCATTAACCTTTTAAAAAATATTATTTTTATTTAATTATTTAATTCAAAAATATATAAATTAATAAAATATTAATGTCCCAGTATTATTAATTTATAGAGTTTTTATTGTAATTATATTGATTGATTTAAAGCTGACAAACTTAAGTTTTTTAGGTAATTTATTTAAAAGATTAACAAATTTAAACATTTTCTAACCACTAAAAAAATCAAAAGAAACATAAAAATCTTGCATAGAATTTGGTATATGATAAATCAAACATTGATTCAAAATATACAATGGCATATCATGTAATTAGTCTAGTAATTTAAGTTTCTTTTAAAAAATTAGCTGAGAATAAATGTGGAGTTGACACATCAGCATAATAGCACTACTGTAAATACTTACAAAAGTGAGGTTACTCTCTAAAAATGCTTCTCAATTAATATATAGGGGCAGCTCCGACCCAAGTGGGGTGGGCAGAAGTGCATCCGCCCAGGGGCCCAACCCATTTATTCTTGAAATTCTGCATATAATAGGACCAGTTTTAAAACAAATAAGCCCAAATAATTATATTGTTAATTTAAATTAGTATTTATTAATGGAAATTTTATTAAAAAAAAGTCCAAAATTTTAAAAATTAGTGTAAATTTTTATATTAGAAAGCCCAAATATTCAAAATTTAGTGAAATTTATATATTAGTGGGCCCAAAAAATTTTTTTGCCCTAGAGCTCCCAATATCATTGGGCTGGGGCTGTATATGGGATTTAATCTTGTTAAAAACTTTACTTATGTCAAGTTTAACTGCCATAAAAGATTGAACAAGCGTCTTAGTATGAAGGGAGTGGAAGAAGCTCATGCGCAGTAAAAATATTATATATCAGTCTTCTTAGAATAAAAACTGATTGACTATCGAAAATAATTTGATCCAACCAAGGTTTTAAGCACTCAGCTAACGCTTTTGAAAGAATTTTAGATGCTATGTTAGTAAGGCCGATAGGTTTGTAGTCTTTAACTTCAGTAGGTATGATTTATTGGATAAAAAATTCCTTTAGAAAATAATATTTAGCAAATTTGAGCACCTGACTGTATTAGCCCAATGATTTTGATAAAAATCAAGACTAAGTCCATCTTGTCCTGGAGCTTTGTCTCTTGCCATATTATGGGCAGCTTGGTAGAGTTTTTTCTATGTAATTGATATATTTAGCGATTCATTCATCTCTAGAGTGACCCTGCAATTCTCAGATTGAAAGAAAGAATTAAAATAGTCTACAATCACTATATTACTGTCTTTTTGAGAATACCAGACTTTCTTTTTAGTAAGTGCAAAAAACAGATGCAACATGATATTCAACATGGATCGCGCTAAGTTCAACGCTTTATTCAATAACTAGAATAATACAATTTAATCATGCTGATAATATTGTTTGGTGTTATGCAACTCTAACCCTTTAGATTCGCCTCAATCGATTCTTAGTTCTAAACTCTCTTCACAAGATCACACAACACGTGTATCAAAAACAGATGACACTCCATCTTACGTTGATTGTTGTATGAAGCTTGAAGAACAATTGCAGCAATTGCGGCTCAAAGTATATGTTTCTTACTTTGACCGACTTTCTATTTATCCTAGCTACCCAATCTCTAACCATGTAGTCTTCGGCTTGCGTATCTTCCTTTGTTGCAAGTTTCCCTTTGAGAAGATATCTCCAAGTATTCGCTATGCTCCTTTTGAATATATATTCTCCCTTTGCCATGTCAGCTTGCTTGTCAAGCCAGCTACCAGTTTCCACGGCTACAAGCCAGCTACCAGCACGTCCCTCAGGAACTGCATATTCAGTATCACCTTTTTTATTTAGTTTGCCACTGCAGCATCTCGTCTGATAATACCTGCAAATACAGTTGAAAAGGCATAATGTAAAATACTGAAAATTTTTAGTTTATTTATTAAAATTGTAAGCATGTTAACTTATTTATCTCTCACTAATAAAAAAGTTATAAGCTTTTAAACAATAAATCCCACTAGACCATCTCATTGATATGTGTTGGACAAAAAAAAAATATTATGGAAAATGTATAAAATAAATTAAAAACTAATTTTTACACATAATAGAAAAAAATAAATTTAAATGGAACAAAATAAAATAAAATAAGATTATCTGAGGTCATACTACAATTTCCCTTTAAAACCGTAACTAGCTCTTGGTTTTTTTAAGTTCAGAAACATAGAACTTGTGGTAATCTTTCTGCTTTTTTTTTTTTGACACTTGTGGTGTTTCATTCCATGCACAATATTAGTTATATGATAAATAAAGAAAGCAAAAGCAATGGTATATCCTGTCTTTTAGCAAATGCATGTTGCACACTTTTCTAATGTATCAAACAATCACATTCATACATTATCGTTATTATTTTTAGCTTCCAATTCACTTATAAAATAGAAAAAAATGAAACGCCCCAGCATACACACTCACCATCTTTTTTTTGTTTTTCAACCTGGCCACAATGAAAACAATGAACAATTATATTTTTATGTGGTTGCTTTTGTTCGGGTTTTCAATAACAAACGCATTTCCAAAGAGTGACATTGAAAATTTATGCAAAGAGACACCTGATGCAGCCTTCTGCACCACACAACTCCTAAATGATCCACGAATACCACCCGCGCCACTTCTCAGCGATGTGCTTATAATTGTGGTAATGTTATATATTTAATACAATATTATTTTTAATTAAGTATTATGTATATTAGTTATTTATCTAATTAAATAGTAGAATACTACATAGGATAGATGTAGAATATATGGTTTTTTAATGCATAAAAACCCTTCAAGTAGATTTTTTTGCAACTTTATCTTCTGTTTACTTTACAGAGAGTGTAGGTTAAATCAGTAAGTCAAACTCATCATCTTATATAGGTTATAAAATCTATACATGAGCGAAAGTTATATTTCAGGTTTACTGTGACTTGTATTTTCTATAAATATAGGTAAAATTTTAAAAACCAACTACTCGAAGGATTTGTTTTGCAAAATGCACTATATATATGTGATATATAAATAGCTAAGCTAACATTTCCTGTACTTTATAGAATATAGTGTAAGTTTTGTTTATGATTAAAAACTTGATCAGATTTCGCTTTCACAAAAACAAGTGCAAGACGCAATGATTCATATTAACAGCATCCGTCGAAACTTCGAAGGTCGGAGCGAGATACAACAGATTGATAATTGCAATTCCAAATATCTTGGCGCTTCGGGAAGGTTCTCTGAGGCCACAGATTTTGCACTAAAAAAGACTTATACGGCAGTGATCACTTTTGCGGGTGATGCCAAGGACGCTGTGACCCAGTGCCAAAGTGAATTGGTAAAGAATATGATACAAATATCTCCTCTCACTTTATATAACACAAATATTTCTAAACTATATGAAATCATTCTTGTTATTACCAAAAAGCTTGGAGTGAGAATTTAATATATTTTTTCGGCCAGTGTAAAAATAAATTATTAATAAAGGTCATTTTGTAATAAAAATTAGGAGGTTATATATTAGAGGAAACAGTAACTTGGCTGTTTCGTCAAGAATATGTAAAGCAAGGGCCGTACACACATGATATAGAAACATAAACATTGTTTAAGGCATCAAACTTTTTATTACAATTATAATTATATTGTATTAATTTCAAATAATAATTTTCTTTTTACATATATTAACATGGGTCTATATACTTGGAAGTTTATAATATATGATTCATCTGTTCCATTGTAACTATAACTCGGTTAATCATGATTACAACTTCAGCTTACATGTGATAATCTAGAAGAATCTTGTTCAGAATGTCAGGACTAGAGTATTTCCTGTTGTTGAACAACAATTCATTTCTCATCTTCCAGATACGCCAACTAAAGAAATCGGTAGCTTCTGTAAGATGGACTTATTGATCCTGTCATTGGCCGTGAAAAAGAAGTTGAAAGAGTCATTCAGATACTTTGCCGTAAATCCAAAAACAACCCGATTCTTCTTCATGAAGCTGGTGTTGGGAAGACGGCCATTGCTGAAGGAGTAGCTATTAGTATTGCAAGAAGCAAATGCTCCTGGATTTCTCTTGGTAGGCACCAACATCTAATTAAAGGGAGATTATGATCTGAAGTTGATCAACCATGTACATAGACTTGTGTATGACCCAAGCCCACATAAATTGGAAAATCCCAACAAGAATTTCCAGACCAATGCAACCCAAACCTAACCTCACCCCCATCATCGCCACAGCGAGAATCAAAAGAAACACAAGATTTTCCGATCACGCCCAACCTCTGCCCAAATCTCAAGAGCTCTGTCGTTGCTGTTTCTGACCAGGCCGAAGATTCTGGACGTGACACCGTTGACGTGAGGAGAAGCCACCGTGAATCGATTCCAAGCCGTTGCCTTCTCGATCACGCTGCCACCATTTGCCACCACCGGCGATATGCTGCTCCGAGTCACCGCCATCGTTTGTGAATCTCATCTGGGTAAGGACGAATCATTTGATCTGTAGTTTCCGTTCATGTTCAGTTTCCCGAGAGTGACCATGCTTTGAAACCACCATTGTTACATATTCATAAGCCGCAAGCTTCATCTTCTCCTTAGTTTTGTTGTTGGGACTGCCACAGTCATCGTCCGTGAGTTGTTGGTGGTAAGAGATTAGAGTTTATTTTCACTTTTGTTGCATCCGGTTGTCGGAGAAGTTGTATCGTGATGTTTATGTTGTTGTTTTTTTGGTTGCTTGACTTAGAAGTAACTCCGTTTGAGTTGTTTTCTCTCTTGTCGTGAGATCTTCTTCTTGTCGTCGTCATCATCTTCATCAAACCAAAAATCAAAGAAGGCAAGATCCGTTGATATTTAAAGATTGTAGTTAATTAGTATTTGTAAATGCTAAATTTAGAGAATTATTTGTTGATTGTTGTGATGTGAGAAATTGATGATAATTGATTGTTTATGTGTTTAGATGATGAAATGCTAAGTTAGTATGATATGTTGGTGGAAAGTATATGTTATATTTTTGTGAAGTTGGACTGAAACATTGACATGACAGTCTTGTTAAAGTCTGTACTTCGGTGTAGTTGGACTGAGAATAAGAACATGGCTTTAAGTTCGTTACCCGACTGACAATCCAAAAGATGGTGGAAGACCTTTCGAAGAGTCCGACCAGCCCAGTGTCATGATATTTTATGTTTAGTTAATAGTGGTGGAAGACCTTTTGAGGTGTCCGGCCAGCCGAGTATCATGTGATTTGTGTCTAATCGTGATATGATTATTATATTCTTAATGTGCCGTGATTGGAAGTACTTGTTGATTGCTGCTACCTCTAGAGTAAGTATTTGCGTGTACTGCTGAATAGTGGTGTTAAGAATCATGTGGGCGGATATGACCAACCTCACTGAGTAACTCGTTGCTCACCCCCCACCCCCCCCCCCCCCCCTCCCTTACACTCTTTTCAGGTGAGGAAATGGTTGAGGACTAAGGTTCAAAATTAGGATCGTTCAGGTGCTAGATTTTGAGGGTTATTATATGCTTAGTTCAGAATTTCGTTTAAGTCAAGTTTGCCTTTTATTTGTATTTATTTAAGTTGAACAGGATTTCTGGTTAACATAGTTTATGCCGGTTCGTTTAAGACGTTTGGCTTAAGTAATAAAGAAGCGGATTTAAATATTATTTATTTATTTATTTATCTATTTATTTATTCTATTTTTAAAATAGACGGTTATTACAGTTTGGTATCACAGTCTCGGTTAGCCAAGCCGGTTCTGACCCGTAAGATTGGTCCTTAATGAGTTTTGCCGGTTTTTGAAGAATGATCATCATCTGGTTATCTTGGGTTATCAAGTTAGTTTAGCTAAGCTGGTCTTGCATGTGTGAGAGCTGATGTTTGTTGAACGGCTTTAAGCCTTATCGTCTTCCTCACTTGTTTGTTAGATCATTCGAGAGAAGTGAGAGAGAGATCGAGAGAGATTCTTGTAACCGAGATTGTTAAGCTCACAAGAGCAAGTGTTAGTGGATTTCAAAGATAATCTCTGGCGAGACGTAGGATTCTAGTGAGGAAGATCGAATGCTCCTGCTTTCTTTTCTAGTTTGGTGCAGTGATTTATCTCGGATCGAGCTAAGAATCGAACAAAGTGGTATCAGAGCGCCATGTTCTGGCAACCGGAGGCGCGCGGTGGCAGATCGAAAAAGATCAATCGGAGATGGCGACATCACCGGCTGGGATCGAGAAGTTCGATGGAACGAGTGATTTCTCTATGTGGAAATGAAGGATGTACGCTCATCTGAGTGTATCGGGGCTAAAGGACGTTCTGATTGAGTCTTCTCAAAGCTCAACTCAGATCACGGAGATCTCCCCTGCAGCAGCGACGGTGGTAGCAGAAGGGACAGCATCAGTTATACCGAACAAGAAGAAAGATATCGTCGTCGATGAAGCAAAACAAGAACGATGCAAGAGGGCCATGCATCTGATTTTTCTGAGCGTCGCAGATCCAGTTCTGAGGAAGATCGAATGGTGTACAACTGCGGCGGAAGCTTGGGCTCTTCTAAAAAGGGAGTATATGCTCCAGTCTCTTCAAATCGAGTCTATGCTCAGTTACAGCTATACAGCTTCAAGATGCAGGACCACAGATCTATTGACGAGAATGTGGATGATTTCTTGAAATTGATAAGGGAGCCAAGCCATCTAAGCATTCAAGTCCCAGAGGAGGTTCAAGCTATATTCCTCTTGAATTCGTTGCCAACCAAGTATGACCAATTCAAAGAAATATTGAAGTATGACATGGAGTCTATAAAGATGGCGGATGTAGTTAGCTCAGCAAGGTCAAAGGAGAAGGAGCTAAGGAATGGCTCGGGTCCTAAGAACAGTTTAGAGGGTCACTTCGCTAGAGGACGATCAGAGAGTTGGGGCTCACACGACGGGAAGAACAAAGGCCATAAGTCAAGGTCAAAGTCTAGATTCGGCAAGAAGATCTGCTGGATTTGCGGCAAGGAAGGTCACTTCAAGAAGCAGTGTTACAAATGGTTAGAGAGAAACAAAGGGAGGCATCAAGCTCAGGGCAAAGGAGAATCGTCTATGGCTAAAGATGATGCTCAAGATTTGGTGGGTTTGATAGCCTGTGAAGTGAATGTCTCACAGACATTGTGGATCATGAAGAATGGGTCATGGACACAGGGTGTTCATTTCATATGACACCAAGGAGAGATGTCTTCATCGAGCTGAATAAGGTTACTGCAGGACATGCCAGGATGGTTTTACACAAACTCATAAGTGAAAGGCATTGGTTCAGTGAGGTTCGCGAATCCAGATGACACTACTTTTGTGTTTAATGATGTAAGGTACATGCCGGATATAGGGAGAAATCTTATCTCCTTTAGGATACTTGAACACAAAGGTTGTGAGTTCAAAGGTGTGAATGGTGTTCTGAAGGTTGTGAAAGGGTGTACGGGGATCATGAGAGGTGCTAGACAAGGCAGAGACACACGCTACATCCTACAGGGAAAGGCAAGGTCGTCAGGCACATGTTCAGCAGTCATCAACACAGAGGCTCAAGCAGTCGCATATACTGTGTACTCACAGCTGTGGCATAGCAAGATGGGTCACGTTGGTCATAAGGCACTCGAAGTGCTTCGGAAGAAAGGCTGTATAGACAAGGACAAGGTCTTGGAAGTCAAGTTCTGCGAAGACTGTGTTCTCGGCAAGACTTAAAGGGTCAGTTTTGATCCAGCTCAACACGTCACAAAGGAAAAGTTGAACTACATACATTCTGACTTGTGGGGTTCACCAAATGTTCCCATGAGTCTTGAGAGGTGCCAGTATTTCATTTTATTTACGGATGTCTGGTCAAGAAAGGTTTGGGTCTACTTCATGAGGACCAAGGATGAAGCATTTGACAGATTCGTCGAATGGAAGAAGATGGTAGAAGTTCAGTCAGAAAGGAAGGTTAAGAAGCTTAAAACGGTTTAGAGTTTATCAACCTTCGGTTTGTTACGTAAGGAAGAAGGAATTGTTAGACACAAGACGGTGGCTTACACTCCTCAGCAGAATGGAGTTGCTGAGAGACTAAACTGGACCATCATGAACAAGGTCAGAAGCATGCTTACTGAGAGTGGACTTGAGCAAAAGTTTTGGGAAGAAGCAGCTTTGACAGCGGTGTATCTTATTAATTGAACACCTTCTTCGGTGATTGATTTTGAAATTCTAGAAGAGAGGTGGACTTCTGCGGTTCCAAGTCTGAGTAATTTGAGAAGATTCGGCTGTGTTGCCTATGTCCACATGGATGATGGGAAGATGAAGCCGAGAGCAAAGAAAGGAATCTTCACCAGATATCCAGAAGGGGTCAAGGGGTTTCAAGTCTGACTCCTTGAAGACAGAAAGTGCATGATCAGTAGAAACATGGTGTTCAGGGAGGACACAATGTACAAAGACATCAGAAAAGGAGACAAGTCAGGTGACTCTTCTGTGGATTTGTTTTATACTAATCAACTCTTGAGTGTTGATCTTGCAGGTAATCACAGGGTAGAAGACACTTTAATTCCAGGTGGACCTACTGAGAGTGATGAAGAAGAGATGCAAGTCCAGGAGGGAGAAGTACAAGAAGTTGATTTAAGCAGGAGGTAAGTACAGGAGTCAGCTACTGTTGATCGTCCCAAAAGAATTACAAAGCTTCCTGACCAACTGAAGGAT